ATCCCTATCCCTCCCTCCCTGGCTATGGGGCCCCCTCTCAGTCCTTGTCCCCCCCCCTTAGGGCTTTTCTTTAGCCCCCTTCTCCTTTCTCCCCTCTCCGGTGCCCTGTGTCCCATCAGATCCGGGGCTGGGATGCTCTCAGAGGGTTCCCCATCAAGTCCTGGATCCTCTCAGAGGGTTCCCCATCATCTCCTTCCATCCCTCTGTGGGACTCCCCCCTCCCACCCCTCTTTCCTTATTAATTTTTCCCTCCTTTGGGATTCCAACCCATTTTCCTTGGGTCCTTCCAACCCTTTCCCTTAGTCCTTCAACCTTCTCCCTTCTTCTTCCCCAGCATAAGTTTGGATTCCCCCAGATCTTTCTTTGGTATTGCTGTATTACTGATGTATGTCCTGGTTTGGGTTGGACTGGCCCCTAAAACTCTAGAAACCCCACAAAAGGCTCCTTTTTTCGTGGTTCTGCGACGGCAGAGTTGGGTATAGGGCTTGGAGAGCAGATGAGGAGGAGGATGATGTCCCACCAGAGACCGCTGACGCTCACCCAAGTGTCTGCACGAGGGAAAAAGAAGAGGAAAAAGAGATGTCTCCTAGACCCTTGCTATGGGGAAGCCTTTGAGGGGCTGGAGTGGGTCCAGAGAAGGGCAACGGAGCTGGTGAGGGGTCTGGAGACCAAGGAGAAGGGTCTGGAGCCCAAGGAGAAGGGTCTGGAGAACTTGTGAGGAGCATCTGAGGGAGCTGGGGGGGTTGAGCCTGGAGAAAAGGAGACTAAGGGGAGACCTTCTGGCTCTCTCCAACCCCCGTTGGACCTTCTCCAACTCCAACCCACCAAAGGAGCGTGTAGCCAGGGGGGGTCGGTCTCTTCTCCCAACGGGACAAGAGGAAACGGCCTCAAGTTGCTCCAGGGGAGGTTTAGGATGGATTTGGGGAAAAATTATGAGAAGATTAAGCCCCATGGAATTTGCTCTGAGCTGCTTTTCGGGGCTGAGGAGCGTTTCTGAGAGGCAGGTGGAGAAAAAGCCTTCACTCAGCTCTTCCTCAGCACTCCTCCTCCTCCTCTCTCAGCCTCTTTAATCCCCTTGCTCCGCAGCGGGATCTGCAGAACGGGCGACGGGGACTCCTCACCGATACAAGAGCTGTTAAAAAAGGAGCCTTTTAACAGAGAAAACGAGAAAAAATACCCCAAAATCCCTCTCTGAGGAGCCGCACACGCCGTGGTGAGGGAGACCAGGCTGCTCCTCTCCAAGTCCCCCGGGGTAAGGGATAAAAGGGAGGTGACCTTGGGGACACACATGAAGGTGCCCCCCCTGCCCCCAGCTTTTCGCTCGCCCACGCAGGGCTGCTATTTATAATTTTTTTAGGTCTTTCAGGAGCCTTTTACTTGGTTTTATTGCTTTCTGCAAGACGAAGCCAAGCGAGGAGCCACCAGCATTTCCCTCTTATTTCAGGGCATTTATTCCTCAAGCAAAAGTCGCTTTGGATTCATTTCCAGTTTAATTTGGTTTTTTGGTTGTGGTTTTGTTTTTTTTTTGAGAACTTGTGAGGAGCAGCTGAGGGAGCCTGGAGAAAAGGAGGTTGAGGGGAGACCTTCTCCCTCTCTGCAACCCCCTGAAATGATGGTGTAGAGAGGTTCAGCTGGTGGTTTGCCCGTGTGATGGGTTCCAAGGGTGACCAAGGAGGCTTCCTTGATGGTTGTCATCAGGTTAAAACGTCGTTATTAGGTTAAATGAGCTTTTTCTGTGCCCTTTTTGGAGACTTTTCCACCCTCTGCTGCCCTCTCAACCCTCGTGCTTGGGATCTCCCAGCTCCTGTGGTTTGGGTGACCTCAAAGGTGAGCGTGGGCTCATTTTCTTAGAATGTTTCATGCAAATTTGGGGGTTTATGGGATCGACCGTTTGCAGAGAGCTAATTTGATGTGATGGGTTGTTTTTTTTGCTTTTCTAAATTAATGAAGGAATATAGGGGTAGAGAAGGATGGAGGTGACCACGAAGGCAGGTGTAGGAACTCGAACTGAGGCGAGCGGTTTAAATCCGGGCTGCTATTTATAATTTTTTTAGGTCTTTCAGGAGCCTTTTACTTGGTTTTATTGCTTTCTGCAAGGCGAAGCCAAGCGAGGAGCCACCAGCATTTCCCTCTTATTTCAGGGCATTTATTCCTGAAGCAAAAGTCGCTTTGGATTCATTTCCAGTTTAATTTGGTTTTTTGGTTGTGGTTTTGTTTTTTTTTTGAGAACTTGTGAGGAGCAGCTGAGGGAGCCTGGAGAAAAGGAGGTTGAGGGGAGACCTTCTCCCTCTCTGCAACCCCCTGAAATGATGGTGTAGAGAGGTTCAGCTGGTGGTTTGCCCGTGTGATGGGTTCCAAGGGTGACCAAGGAGGCTTCCTTGATGGTTGTCATCAGGTTAAAACGTCGTTATTAGGTTAAATGAGCTTTTTCTGTGCCCTTTTTGGAGACTTTTCCACCCTCTGCTGCCCTCTCAACCCTCGTGCTTGGGATCTCCCAGCTCCTGTGGTTTGGGTGACCTCAAAGGTGAGCGTGGGCTCATTTTCTTAGAATGTTTCATGCAAATTTGGGGGTTTATGGGATCGACCGTTTGCAGAGAGCTAATTTGATGTGATGGGTTGTTTTTTTTGCTTTTCTAAATTAATGAAGGAATATAGGGGTAGAGAAGGATGGAGGTGACCACGAAGGCAGGTGTAGGAACTCGAACTGAGGCGAGCGGTTTAAATCTGAGGAGGTTTCCTACTTGTAAGAAGTGGGAAAATTGGATAAAGTGGAGGTTGTTGGGGGTTTTTTAGACGTTTTTAAGAAGGAGGATTCTTCTTGGGCCATAATGATTTAATCCTGTCTGTAATTCCTTTATTTTATGTGATGGGCTCCGAGGGTGACCAAGGAGGCTTCCTTGATAGTTGTCATCAGGTTAAACATCATTATTAGGTTAAATGAGCTTTTTGTGCCCTTTTTGGAGACTTTTCCATGCTCTGCTGCCCTCTCAACCCTCGTGCTTGGGATCTCCCAGCTCCTGTGGTTTGGGTGACCTCAAAGGTGAGCGTGGGCTCATTTTCTTAGAATGTTTCATGCAAATTTTGGGGTTTATGGGATCGACCGTTTGTAGAGAGCTAATTTGACGTGATGGGTTGTTTTTTTTTTTGCTTTTCTAAATTAATGAAGGAATATAGGGGTAGAGAAGGATGGAGGTGACCACGAAGGCAGGTGTAGGAACTCGAACTGAGGCGAGCGGTTTAAATCCGAGGAGGTTTCCTACTTGTGAAAAGTGGGAAAATTGGATAAAGTGGAAATTGTTGGGGGTTTTTTTAGGCGTTTTTAAGAAGGAGGATTCTTCTTGGCCCGTGGCGATTTAATCCTGTCTGTAATTCCTTTATTTTTATTAAGACAATAAAAAAAGAAGCTCTTTTCTTTCGAGGAAGGCAGCAGCCACGAGGGCTCCGCTGGGCTGTTCCTGGGGGATTTTCCTGGGATCCCCCTCTTTTCTGTGCTCTGTGGGGCTGCCCCTTCTCGATGGGATAAACCCAGGAGGAGAGAGATAGGGATGGACTCGGTTGGTGCTGGAAGAGGCTCGTTGTGGGGGTGTTAATTACTCCACCACGCTCCGGGGCTCCAAGTATTGCCTCAGAGGTCGTGCGAGAGGCGATGTTTTTAAAAAGAAATCAAAAAAAAAAATCTAAAAAACCCAACAAACTAAGTACAGAAGTGAGGAGAGGGGGAAAAAAAAAGGTTGAAGTGCATATTTTAGCAGCCTTGTGATGGAAAGAATCTTCCACCCCACCCGAAAGGAGCCACTTTTGCAATTATTTGGAGTTCCCGGCTTGTTCCGGCCGCGGGGTCCGAGGGAGGTGGTGGCCGGGGGTTTCCAAATGGTGAGTGTTGGCTCGTCTGGCTGCGGAGGAGCCCGGCGCCATGTGGAATCACTTACTGGGGGCTGTGTTTAATATGCAAGTCAGATGTGCTGTGGTAGACACGCCGCCGGGACGCGGGGGTTACGCTCCAAAGCCATAAACAGATAGAGCTCCCTCGATCGGAGCGGGCTCTGCTTTGTGTCTCCTGCTCCTCTTCCCCCAGCAGCGCATCCAAAGCTTTTTGGGGGGAGCCTCCAACAGGGGTTCAGCCCTAAATCTGCCCCCCCCACACGTGGGTGAGCT